TTTCTCCGATCACAAATGCAGACATGGTTTTATGGTTACGCGGCGCGATGCAATGCAATGCGTAAAAAGACAGTATAAGGCATTATAATCCGTAATTATGTCCCCACTGGATGTAACAAATGCCTCGTTTATAATGGGTTTTAATGTTTCTGTGTTGTCGTTCTGGCCGGGACAAGGCATGACAGTATGGTAAGGGGCGTAACATTTCCGTCACACGCTTGAGGAATTCGGCCAATCACAATGCACTGGATAGCTGGCCAATCAGAGCACACCTCGCTTTTCAGACCGATGAGCTTTGTAAAAATCGACGCATTTCAGAAAGGCGGGGCATAGAGGAGAAACAATAATGTACAGTATGTGGAAAATAATGTGTTTTTTGAACCTTAAACCGCATAAAAACATTTCATTACACCAAATACACAAAATAATGTTATTTTTAGCAGCATCATATGACCCCTTTAAGGTTTTTCTGCTGTGCATGCTGACCAACACTCCAGTTCTGCAGTCCAGACAAGGTTATCCTACCTACAATATATTAACTGTCCATTTAGTATCTTTGCATGTTGTTGCTGAAGTTACACTTCAGGCTGCAGTGTTTTGGATTCAGAACTCATAATGGGTGAAAGGTTAAACTCGTCTTACATAGTGGTAGTGCGAGGAAATATATTCACGCATGCTGCCAGCCTTTTTTCCATGATGCTCCTAACAAAGAGAGAGAGAGAGAGAGAGCGAGAGAATTTAGCATCTCTGTATTTGCATATGACTGCATCACAAGTCAAAGGCACTCTGTGCTCTTTCAAATGTATAGGCGCACACAGCTCATCTGAATGCAAGTGTAATATCGTAGAGGCAAAATAGTTTTAACAGTGAATTTCATTTCAAATAAATTCAAATTTAGTTTTTAAAAGAGAACATGTAGGCTAAAATGAAAGACATAGAATGTACAGCAGCAAAAAAATTAATTAAAAAAAAAGTTAAATACCATATACCCCCAATTAAAAATCAGTGTCAAGCATCCATTACATGACAGGGTGATTATCAGATTTTGATACCTCACTCAGAATGTTATCAGACTTACATACTAACACAAACACAACCTTGAATGGAAGCTTGTTTTCACCACAGGTTAAAATAAATAAATAAATAAATACAATTCTGACTTTTTTCTCACAATTCTGAGCTTATTTCTTACCATTTGGACTTGGAGTTTTATCTCACTCAGAACTGCAAAAAAAGTCTGAATTGTGAGATATAAACTCAGGATTGCGAGATGTAAACACATAAGCTCAGAATTCACTTTTTCTCACAATTCTATCTTGCAATTATGAGTTTACATCTCACAGTTGTTTATATCGCAAAATTCTCAGAATTCTCGCATATCTGAGAAGAAAAACCTGACTAGTGAGATATTAACTGAAAAAAATTGAGATGTAAACTTAGTATTCTAAAGGGAAAAAAGGTCTGAATTGCAAGATATAAATTCAGAATTGTGAGACGTAAACACATAAGCTCAGAATTCACTTTTTCTCACAATTCTATCTTGCAATTCTGAGTTTACATCTCACAGTTGTTTATATCGCAAAATTCTCAGAATTGTGAGAAACAAAGTCTAAATTGTGAGAGAAAAACTCAGAACTGTGTGTGAGAGAGAGAGAGAGAGAGAGAGAGAGAGAGAGAAGTGTCAGAATTGTGAGATAAAAAGTCACAATTACCTATTCCGTGGCAGACAAGCTTCCGTACCCTTGAACCGAAAACTTACATTTTGCATAAAAAGATACACTAACTGTATCTACAGATGGTATGGAGGTTGGCCCAGGAATGTGGACTAGACTGTGTTATGCTGGAATATGGTTGATTTGTGTTTTTTCTTAGAAATGTTTCACTTTATGCAAATGAACAGCGAATTTCGCGAGCGACAACCAATAGGAGTGAAGAATCAGTCAGTGGCACTCACACGTCACCGATTCGAGTGCAGGCAATACAGGACAGATTTCCTGATCGATTTCACTGTTTTATATGATTTGACTGTAACCACATACATGGATATTAAAAAAATTATGCATAGAAAAGAAACTGTTGGCTGTTTAAGGGAGTTTGATTCATACATTGATGGTTCGAGTTGTTAATTATATGATGCAGTGAGCAGGTTCTTTTAAACTCTAGCTTGAGCAAATAACAAGCAAGTGGGTATTTTTGTACTTAGGTTGGCACAAGATTTGCCTTATACATCCAGGCATCCAATAAAAGAAGAGATGCCTTCTTTTGTCAAACCATTGTTGTGTTCATTATTTTTTTAAGATTATGATAAAATAAAACATACAAGTTCCAGTTGATCGCTAAATAGTTTAAAAGATTACACTGTGTGTAACAACCATAAAACAGTGGAGCATTTGCTTACGTCAGTACTACAACTCAGTTTGGATTTTTGGTCTAGACACTTCCTGTATTCAGGAGCAGGAAATGAAAAAAAAGAAGTGGTTAACTTTGTGAGATAAAAAACAATAGGTCAGTGTTCTCAAGTTCTTTCCTGGAGCTATATGCAATTGTAAATTAACTTTAATTCAGAATAAACTCTAATAACATGTAACAGAATACATTTATTGTACTCAAGCATGTGATCAGCTAGAGACAAAAAAGCAGGAAAATCTGACCACGCCCAAAGTCACGCCCCCAGCACTTATTATTAAAAACAATAAAAATAAATATATACACTGAACAAAATGATTAACGCAACACTTTTGTTTTTGCCACCATTTGTCATGAGCTGAACTCAAAGATCTAAGACTTTTTCTATGTACACAAAAGGCCTATTTCTCTCAAATATTGTTCACAAATCTGTCTAAATCTGTGTTAGTGAGCACTTCTCCTTTGCCGAGATAATCCATCCACCTCACAGGTGTGGCATATCAAGATGCTGATTAGACAGCATGATTATTGCACAGGTGTGCCTTAGGCTGGCCAAAATAAAAGGCCACTCTAAAATGTGCAGTTTCACATACACATACATTCAAAATGCCATCAATAAAATGTACCTGTGTTCGTTGTCCATAACATATGCCTGCCCATACCATAACCCCACCGCTACCATGGGCCACTCGATCCACAACGTTGACATCAGCAAACCG